GAAAGAGGGAAGGATGAAGATAAGGAAAGTGGGACCTGCAAAAGAAGAAAACTAAAAAAGAATACTAAGAGAATGCAAAGGATGCTAAAAGGTGGGACCCATAATTGGTAAAATGGCCACAACGCTTTGTTTAGGAGTGTTTTAGCCAAATTAAGAGTTGAAAAAGTGCAGCCCAATAACAAATTCTCAAAAAATAACGACTCGAGCATAGTCATTGGAAAGCTTATTTAAACCCCCCATCGAATATGGATGAGTCTCCATTTCTGCCTCTAAATCGACTTCGGACATCGACTTGCTAGAGCTTGTTGATTTGCTAATTCTGTTTTGTTTAGGGATTTGAGTGTGACTTTGGTCTTTAAGGGGTTTGTGTGTGTGACTTAGGTTTTTAAGAGATCTGTGCATAGCTTGTAGGCGATTGGGGCTTTCCAGGCTAAAACTGAAGCTGGTAAACTGGGTGGCCCGATATTGGACCGGTCAATGCATCCCGGGCCAAAAAACATTGCGATTTGGTTCTTGCTTGCCAAGAATTAGAAACAAAGTTTAGGTTTGTTTGAAGGAAAATTATTTTGGGGAAATTAATTTTTTGGTATTTGGAAGACGAAAAAGTTAGTGGATCTATTTTGCTATGAACTGAAAATAACAAACTTAGGTTTGGGGGAAAAACGATTTCCCCTTCTAGCAAAAAGGAAATCATTTCCCTAAATTACCAAGCAAATGAAAACTAACCATTTTTCTTCAAAATGATATCCATCAAAAATATTTTTCTTTATCATGAAATTTTTAGCGAAACAAGCGAACTCTTAATATCATCAACAATTCAACTTGTTTGCCTTCAAGTGCTTATGGGAATAAAGATATCATTGGTCCCTAAATGTTGTTTATTTATGCTGATCTTAGGATTATCTATAAGAGGGTAGGACTGCCGACGTCGATTGTGATTCTATGCTGACTAAAGACTAAATATGATGACATGGAAAAACAAATATAAATAAGTGAAAAAGAAAAAAGACCTTCGAAGGAGGGAGGCAAAGAGAGAGAGAGAGAGAGAGAGAGAGAGAGAGAGAGAGAGAGAGAGAGAGAGAGAGAGAGAGAGAAATGGTTGCAATCAGTCACGAAGCCAGGAAGGTGCAGGGGTTGGTCCATGCAACTATATGACAATAGGGCCATGTCTCCCCTTTGAGCCGATGCAACTTTATGATCATTCATAGTTTAATGTGACAATTCAGACAATTGATGAGATTAAGTTTTCTTATTTTAATTGAAATACTAATCTAGTAATTATTTTTTTGTGACTAAAAAAACAAGATGGAAACTTCGTAAAATGAACTTAGAAAAGTCCACTCCATAAGATGAATGGAATAATGCCCTTTAGTATTTTTCTTTCGGTCAAAAGCGAAAATACTTTTCGCTACAATTTTTTTTTTGAATTTTGGTTTATCACGTGGTATTCTTCCCTAAATGTGACAATAACATATATTAGTCGAGCTTTTAAGTTGACCACTTTGAAAATTTCACCCCCTCCTATAGAGATTTCCAGCTCTCACGTTGGTCGCGACCCCTATTTGGAGATCATGCAAGGGTGGTGGCTAGGCTTGGTGAGGCGTCGTCGCCCTCACATTCACATCGTCAACCATGCAGTGGAAAGGATCTAACTTATGATTACAATCTTTAAGCAGACTAAAGCGGCGACCAAGTACCAATTTCAAATTACTATTCCGTCTCCTTGCTAAAGGAGGATAGATTATGTACAATGATAAGGATGGTTTATTAACTTTTCTTCAATGTTTAATGTAATTCCTGCATTTATTTTTAGTCAATCTTGGCCTCACACTTCCGAAAATCCGCTCAATGTAGTTATTCCATTAAATATAACGCCGCATTACGCAGGTCTTTTTTGACATGGATTGCCACGTTAGCGTTTATTAGGCCAAAATAATGAGTTGTTTTCTCAAGTTAGCAAACTTCACGATTTCATTAGTTAGCTAACGGTGTTAGAATTTTTAATGAAAGAACTGCATCCATTGGATTTTTGAATTTCGAGGACTACATTGAGCAAAAGAGTTCAGGCCTCATATTGGACGTTGAAGAAAAGCACATAACCACCCATGTCATTATACTGTATATTATTGATATGTCGAATAAATGGACATGATATGATGAGTCAATCATAACGTCTGTGTGATATGAATTTTAATCAACTTTGCATTCCAATTTAAACATAAAACCATTCTAAGTGTTAAATTTTACTTTTGAAGTATTGTCGGGAAATTACCCAATCAGTTCAAAACTTATTATACAAATACCAATTTAATCCTAAACTTTTCAATTTTGTCAGTTTATTTCTAAACCTTTGCACGGAGTTCCAATATAATTATTTCAATCAATTTTTACCAAAAATTGCTGACACAACGGTTCAGTCATCGCCGGCCGTTCTACATGGCACACCGCCATATCAGTAATTTTTAGTGAAAATTGGTCAGAAGGACTACATTGGAATTTCGCGAAAAGGTTCGGGACTAAATTTTAGCAAAACTGAAAAATTTAGGATTAAATTGACATCCGTATAATAGATTTAAAATTAATTGGACGATTTCCCCGAGTATGGCCAAACCATATCATGTTTTGAGTCTGTAAATCAATAGCCAGTTCAAAGGTCACACCAACCAGTCTCAGTCCTCCTCAATTTAAGACAAAACAACTACCACTCAAGCCTTGAAATGTTCCCTACTTCTTGAACTGGTTGGTTTAGGTCCATTCCAATTCCATTAGTTATATCACGTACGGAATTCTCCAATTGATTTCACGCACATTTGACGACCCAATGACGAGCTAACACCAACTTTGGCACGAAGTGTTCTTATCTTTGACACGCAGACATCGGACTTGAACATTCAAATGATAATCTATGTTTTTTAATACCTCGATTTTGCAATACCAAAGTTTGTGATGAGAGAATGTGCTGTCAATTAGCAATCAAATTGAAATGTGTTTGAGTTGACTGCTCGCGTGTCATAATATAATCTCTAGATTCATCTGTACATTTCTAATTTAGTTTCTTCACGGATATGCAGCCGCCGCCATCATGCGAACTGTTCACCATGTCATCGTCATCATACATTGCGCCTAATGGACTGACAAATTTCATAATTTTGCTGTAAATTTATATGTATACAACAGGCTAAAAGAGCCTCTGCACAATGCGATTTTGTTGTGCTAACTATAAATACCGGGCCGATAGGACGTGATTGTCGAGTGTTGGTTCATGGGCTTATAGATCTCATCACGCCAGTTTTGAAAAAGTCGATAAGAAGATTTCTTTTAGGTCATTTGGCAAGAAAGATGGCCAACTAGTTTTTCGCACGTTTATATTGTTTGTATCGATCTCTCCTGGCAAGGACATGATAAAGAAAACCTTTCTTGAGGGCTTTGACCTCATACTTCATGAAGGCAAACCCATTTCTCTTTCCTCTTGGTCAGGGATAAGATCTAATGATATTCATCATTTTAACAAGAGGATCATGTCATGATTCCATTTGAACAAAAGAGATCATGTCACATGTCCAGTTGAGGTAGACCATGGGACATGAGAAAAAATTCTTTTTTGGCCCCTCTTTTCGTCCCTGTTAAAAGGATGAGGAGCAGCAAGAGGCCTTAGCAATCCTGTGGAATTTTCGATTTAAGGCACGACTACTCAGCATCATTCCTGATTTTACAGTCCGAGGCTAGCCAGCTTAATATTGAACTGGGGCATCCTGATAGACTACAACTGTCTTTACAGAAGAGTAGACATATCTCCTTACAATTTTCATTGTATCCTTAAGGTTTAAATGGTCATGGCTTCGTGAAAGATAGTGAGTGCGAGAAGAACTGGACTAACCATGCTTGGTGGTACAATTGGAAACACTTTGATTGAAAAAAGCTAGAAGGGTCATACATTTTTCCAGCCATATTCTTTTGATTGGTGGGTAGCAAATACGTATGTCGCATCACATTTATATTTAGTTAAGTTTACATGTAGACGATATCCATAATCTGTAATCCACCAATTAAAAGTATGGTGGGAGAAAAGTTTTCTTCGACCCAGACGAAGGAAAATATAGCCCGAATTAGAATACAATTGGGTAGATGGACATCCCCCAGACGTATAAAGGGCCACATGGAAAATTGTGTGAATTTAAAGATTGATTGTGGGTGCGCATGTACATGATCCATGCAACAACTTGCACAAGAGATAGAACCATAAGATGGGTGTAGAAAGATTGAACTGGGTTCAATCACTTTAGCAAGTAACCTTCCATAAAAGAGAAGGTTATAGTCATAGAAGCATGTTCTTCACCTTATGGAAGCCTATTGAGACTATATTCTCATTATAATGGGTAGTTCAAGTTATAAATATCACCCACATGCAAACTTAAACTAAAATTAAAGTAGATTATCCCTATATTTGTAACCTACTAATCAGAGTTATGGTTGAAAAAAATTTCCTCTAATCAATGATGGAAATATAGCACGACCATTTACATAATCACTTCATGTTTTTCTTTGCCACTATTATCTATACATAGTGCGCTTTTGGTTAATTAGGTTTGAAGTTACTTGAAAGGCCCAACAACATGTAGTTTGGACTTAGGAAATATTCAAAACTACAAAATAGTATCGAACTAAATATAGTTGCCATACAAAGCATAGCCTCTAATTCCGATTCTTGTTTCTTGTGACAAGTTAAAGTTATTATTCTTTGATAATGGATTATCACTTTGCGTATCTCTAACCTCTCTTCTCTTCTCACATTTGGTCAACTTTCCAAAACGTGATTAAGAACTGTTGCTCTTCATAAGATTCAACCGTTTCGACCAGAAAATAGGGTTGGACTGAATCTGGTCAACTCCCTATGAATGGAACGCCAAGACCGTCTCACTTTAAAACAGTGCCAATTCGTATGATTTTCCGTCCATGCAACTTCCTCTTACCCGACTTCGCTCCGCCTATAAATACCCAAACTTGAGGTCATTTCAAGACACAAAACACAATCCCAAATGCCTCTCCCAATCCTAGGCAGCTTGTTCATTTTTCAAAAATTAGTTAGCATTGTAAAAAAAATGGGCAACAAGATCTCTTCCCAATCTTCCACTACCAATTCTCAGCAACAAAGCAGCAGCAGCACCACCACCACCACCAGCAGCAGCAGCAGTAGCAGCAGTAGCAGCAGCGCATACACCGGACTAGGCAACATCATCAAGCTCCTTCCGTCCGGGACCGTCTTCTTGTTTCAATTCCTCAACCCTCTTCTGACCAACAACGGCGAGTGCCACACTTATAACAAGTACCTAAGCGCCATTCTGATCGCAGTTTGTGGCATTTCATGTTTTGTGGCTAGCTTCACCGACAGCTACAAGGGGACGGATGGGTCGACCCACTATGGGTTCGCCACGGCCAAGGGCATCTGGCCTAGCTCGAGCTCCGGTAGCTCCACGAGCTCGTCGGGGTATAAGCTTCGGTTTTCGGACTTTGTCCATGCTTTCTTGTCGGTGATTATTTTTGCAGTTCTGGCGTTGTTGGACACGAACACCGTGAAGTGCTTCTATCCGTCTTTCGAGAATACGGAGAAGACTTTGATCACGGTTCTGCCGACTGTGATCGGCTCGATCTCGAGCACGCTGTTCACGTTGTTCCCGAGCACACGCAACGGAGTTGGGTATCCTTCAAGTGGCACTAGTACCACCTCGGAGACTAGTACTACCTCGGAGAGCAATGCCGCGAAAGTTTGATGACACACAAAAGCACATATGCATGATACAGTGCAATTTCATGCATATTTCCAAATAAATGCATCTAGGGTTTCTCATGTTAGACTCATGTGCTCTAGGATGAGTACATAATTACGATTATAAGTATTTGTTGCTGTAGATCTTACAATGTATCGGTAGATCTGATCTATTTGTAGTGGAATTCATTTATTTATCAATGTCTTTTGGTTAGTTTGTCATCACGAGTGGTATATATCAATCATAGTCAGCTTCATTTATGGCAGCCCAAATTTAATTTCAAGGATTCGGATTTTCTGAAATTAGTTTCTTTTTTAAGTTAGATGATGTTACCCCTTAAGATCCGAGCACATCAGCAACAAGCGAATTGGACAGCTTAGATCGGGTCTACGTACCTAAAAATAACAAGAAAAAGTAAAAACAGAACAGTCAAAATGCGTAAACTGTTAGATTAGGGAAAATGTATAAAGCCAAAAATAAATGGCACATCATATAAATTCTTAACTTTGAATCTATGAGATCATTACAATCACGCAGGTTGACATGTAAAATCATTAAATCTGTTAATGATTTTATAACAGTTGACATATATATTTTTGTTTTCATATTTGAAGGAAAATATAGTACTTTTTCTTAAAAAATAAAGCTAATATCTTTGTTTAAAACCGCAAAAACAGTGGAGATACTTTGAAAATTAAGAAATAACGTACTTAAAAAAAATCACTTGCTTATTTACATTTTCAAAGTATTAAATTAATCTCAACATGTTAACAAAATTTTTCGGTTAACTTTAGATGGTTTCACATCTTTCGGCACCTCGTTTTAGCCTCCCTCGAGAGATCGTTGAGCGCGTTATAGAAATTTGGAGAGAAAAAAATTGAATCCGATTGGATCTAACGATGCACATTCATTTTAGCACGTCTAACAAATTTATTTAATAATTACTCCTTGATGGAAAAACTACCATTTAGCAATTTTCTAAATCAATTAGTTACTTGGGGCGATAGAGTCTCATGTTCTATAAAATATATTCGAGCTACCAGTTTGTTTTTCCCTTTGATCTTACGTATCTCATGAGGTTGATGTGTACTTGACTTTCTGAATCGGCTCAATTCTTTCACACTTTGGATACTTTGCTAGAATCCTATTTACAAGTTATTAAATGTTGATTTGACCGTATCGTACCTAGCAAAATAAATTCTCGAAAAACAAAAACTCATATCATTATATTGCTAGAAAAATTTGTGAGAGAAATGATTGTAGCCTTTTCACTTGGATTTCCTTTACACAAATACTAGCACAAAATCTATCGTCTTTTTTTTTGGGCTTTTTTCTTTGACAACCCAATTGCTACAAAGTATCTTGGTGGGTTCATGGCCCGGTCCTTCGAAAACAATAAAGCCCGGCCCAATAGCGGTCGGCCCGAGCTTTCGGAGTCCAATGAAGTGGCTCGACAGTCCAAATCGGGTCGATCATTAATGGCCGTCGTTGTGAACAAAAATTATACAAGTTTCAATCAAAGCTTTGTGCAGCCTGATCTATTTCAGTCTACACTTATTTAAAGCTTCGATCGAATATGGACGAGTTCATTTTCAGCCTCTAAAAGGGGTGAGCATCGGTCCGGTTTCCAACCCAGGAACGGGACCGGCTGGTTTTGGGCGGTTTCCGGTTCCCATAATTTGGAACCGGCAATAACTGGTCCGGTTCTTCGTTTCAGGTGCGGAACTGAACCGCCCGAACTGAACCAGATCGATATACTTTTTTTAATATATTTTTTTCTCTTAAAGGGTAAGAATGATTGGGAGCACTTAAAATTCAATGTAAGGCAATTTGTAATCTCGTTTTTGTGGGAGTTGCTCTATGTTGGCGTGTTGAGTGGGCCGACCACCGTCAGGATCAAAATAATTGTCCCGAATCCTAATGGAACACCAGTCTGTCTTCAAATGTGAAAGTAGGAGTGCCACCACTTCGGAAGACGTGCATTCGTCTCCTGACTTCTTCATGGAGATTCAATCTTTTTGGGCTCTCCATTCTGGAATCCGCAGCATTACCATTTACTCGCTTACGCAGTTATTTCGCGACAAATGAATGATGTAGAAAATATTATTTTAAAAATGATCGCTTGTATTACTTATAAAAATGAATAAACGAAAAATATTTTTATCTTCCATGAAAATGTTTAGATATAAATTGTTATCGATAATGAAAACATTTTTTATCGACTAATTATTTCAAACAATATGAACAATTATCTTTAGGAAAATGTTTCCTAAATCATTTAATTTTTGCTAAACAAACGGAGCCTTTACTTACAGAAGAACCACCTCGACTAAATGCCTAATTACCGTCCTTGACTAACCCTACTTATGGTAAAATTGATCTTGGATTTAAGGGTAATTGCAAACCACGTTCCCTAAACGAGAGAGAGAGAGAGAGAGAGAGAGAGAGAGAGAGAGAGAGAGAGAGAGAGAGAGAGAGAGAGAGAGAGAGAGAGAGAGAGAGAGAGAGAGAGAGAGAGAGAGAGAGGCAGATCGAGTCTGTACTTGAAAGCAACGTGGGGCAATTTGTTTTACTACTGAAAGAGTTTGCCATTTCTTTTGCTACTGAAAGAAATCTTCCAAATGGTTCTCCCTTCTCACCTAATTCATTAAGTTAACGAGCTTGATTATTGAAATGTCATTAAGTTGGAAAATGGCAATTTGTAAACCATCATAGTCAGAACCTGAATTGACCCTTTGTTTCAGGACTAGTTGGGTCGATTCCCAGTTTCATAAACTGGAACTGACTCTCCCCGGTTCGGTTCCAGGGTGGAACCAACCCACCATGAAACCGATCACCCCTCTAAATTGACTTCCGACTCCGACTTGCTAGAGCTCGTTTTATACGGATTTGCTGTGCACTTGCTAATTCTACCGGGGTTAAGGCTTGTGTGGGATTTGGGTTTTTAAGAGGTTTGTGCATGGGCTTCTAGGCCGATTTGTGTTTTCTAGGCTATAACTGAAGCTGGTGAACCGGGTGGCCCGTAAATGGACCGGTCAATGCAACCCGGGCCGACAAAGGGATCTTTTGTCTGGTTCCTTGCTTGAGGTACTGTTTAGCCAAGGATCGAAAAAACATAAATTGTACCATTTGTTATTGAACTTAGAAAATTTCACTAAGATTATTCGAATGATGCTCTTTAGTAATTTTCTATCGGTCAAAATCAAAAGTACGTTTTGCTACCCCTTTTCTTTTGTCTTTTGATTTATCTTGTGGTATACTTCCCTACTCGTAATAATAACAAATACTAGTTAAACATTCACTTTGAAAGTTTGCTCCTTAGATTATGGCCCTCACACCAGTTGAAAACCCTATTTTGAGATCAAGCAATGGTGGTGGGGACTTAGTGAAGGGTCGTGGCCCTCAAATTCACTATGACTATGGTCACGAACTCTTATTGTGACGAGGGGTGGCGGCCCTCACATTCATAATGGGTATGATCATGAACTCTCGCTTGAGTGTGATAGCGAGGGCTAATAAGCCTTGTCAAGATCTAGCTTACAGCCAAGCGGTGAGCTTGCATCTCTCTCTCTTCGCTCTCCCGCCCGGGTTTTTATATTCCTTAGCTTTTTTGGTACTTTCCCAAAATCATTTTTGGTCTAGCTACTCATATTTGTATTATAGATCAATTAGGAAAATACTAGATTCTGGTTGATCGCTTAGGTCAATTTGTCAACCATAGAGTGAAAAGGATCTAATCTCAATCTTAGGCAAGCAAAAGCAGCGACCAAGTACCAATTTCAAAGTACCATTCCATCTTCTTTGAGATTAAATTAATGACAATGACATGCATGGTCTGTGAATTGTTTTTTTAACGTTCAACATGGTCCCAAACTTTTTTTTATTCAATCTAATTCCCAATTTTTCAAAAATCCGTTCAATATAGTCATTACATTTAATATATTGCCAAGTCACATGTGTTTTTCTTTTTTACGTGAACTGCCATGTTAGTGTTTATTGGGCCGGAATAATGATGTGGCATGCCACATCGTTTTCCCAAGTTAACAAATCTTTTTACCTTTCCTTTTGTCCTTTCTTTTTAGGCCGAAATGATTATATATATAACGTGGAGATTAAGCCAACATAATGTAGTTTTATAGATGATGTTGAAGTTGTATGTAAGCCACGTGGATGCTTGCATAGAGAGCCTAACGCGAAGTTAACAAAATCATGGTCAAGTTAGCTAATGGTGTTAGAATTATCAGCGAAAAAACTACATTGGTAGGTTTTTTGAAAGTTTAAGAACTCTATTGAACATGAAAAAATTCAGGACCCATGTTGAACATTGAAAAAGTACACATGTATTCATGTCATCATCCCATATATTATTTACACATCATATGAATTATAACGTGATATAACGAGTCAATCATGATGTCCGTATTATAAGTACCTCATTAGAGTAACTAAGAGAATTTTCGACAGTAACGTGGTTGTGCCAACTTATCCTTCGAATATTCATGGTTTGATTCCGTAAATCATGGTCAGTCCGAAGATCACATCAATTGGGCTCAGTCCAAAGTTTCCCTACTTCTTTTACTGGTTGGTTTAGGTCCATTTCTAATTCCATTGATTACCCAATGACAAGCTAGTCCACTTTGGCACATTGTTCTTATCGAACATTCAAACCATCGATCTTGTCTTTCGCAAATGAGAACAAAATACACACGAGAAATGAGATCATAAAACGCCTGTGCGTAGATAGCATTTTCGTCGATTTTGCACTGCCAAAGTTTGTGATGAGAAATTCTGCTGTCGATTTGCAGATGCAACTGAAATGTACTTGAGTTGACTGCTCTTATATTATAATCTCTAAATTCAGGTGTACACATTTCTAATTTCGTTTCTTCACAGACGTTGCAGCCACCGTTATCACGTGAACTGTTCACCATGTCATCATCAAATACCTTGTGCCAGACGGACCGAAAAATTTCATGATTCTTCTTGTAAATTTATATATACATAGACAAGAGAACAAGAGCGTCTGCACAATACAATATTGTCGCACCAATTACAAATACCGACCGACTAGACATGATTATCGAGTATTATGTATACAGGCATAAGTATACAACAATCGGCATATGCCCTTTACGTCAAGTCGTTATTAGAAGATTTCTTTACGTCATGTGGCAAGAAAGATGGGCAACCAGTTTTTCTCACGGTTGATCTTTATAATATTATTTGTATCGCATTCTTCTGGAAAGGATGAGGAAAGAAATCCTTCCTTGAGGGCTTCGCCTCCGTTTTTCCATGAAAGCGAACCCATTTCTTTTTCGTCTCGGTCAGGGATAAGATCTCTATGACATTCATCATTTGAACAAAAGAGATCGTGTCATATAAGTCCATTTGTAAGGCCATGGGACAAGAAAAGGTTCTTTTTGGCGCCTGAGCTTAGCAAGACACCTTAGCAATCCAACGGATTCTTTGATTTAAGCCATAACTGCTCAGCGAGCTCGATATTGTGCTGTAATTCTACTGGCACACTGGCGAACTGCAACCCACTCCACATGAGAGTGGACAGGTCTCCTTTACAAAATTCATCACGTCCTTAAGTACAGATGGTCGTGTCCTTGGGGAAGAAGGTGAACGCGAGAAGCGCCGGACTAACCATGCTTGGTGGTACAATTGGAAACACGTAAATCGGAAAACGAAAACTAAAAGGTTCATGCATTCTTCCAGCCATTTTTTTATTGTTGGGTTCCAATACGGATACCACTTCATGTTTATATTTAGTTAAGTCTGTCCGTGGATGATATTCGTAAATTGTAATCCACTAATTAAAAATATGGTTGGAGAAAATTTCATCATAATAGGATGGAGGATAAATATGGCAGTAGCTAGAATACAAGTGGCTAGACGCGTGTCCAACAAACATATGAAGGGTCACATGGGAAATTGTGCGAATTTAAAGATTGATTGCGGGTGCACATGTACATAGTACGTGCAACAACTTGCTTATGAGATAGAAACATAAGAAGGGTTTAGGAAGATTCAAGTATGTTCGATCACTTTGGTCACTGGCCTTCCATAAAAGAGCAGGTCATATTCTAAAAGCATGTTTTTGACCTCATCGAAGCCTATTGAGGTTATTTTTTTTTCTCGACCTATATATTCCTCCATTGCTGATTGGATCAAATTTCCTCAAAACATGATTATTATAGTTGGTGATTTCAAGTTATGAACACCATCCACATACAAATTAAAGCTTAAAATTAAAAGCGAGCGATCCCCTTGTTGGTGATCCACCAACCAGAGATGTGGTTGAAGGAAATTTCCTCTATACATAATGTGCTTTTGGTTAATTAGGTTTTACTTGTAAGCCCCAAAAACATATCGTTTGGTGTTAGGAAGTATTCGTAACTAAACATGGTATTGAATCAACTGCACTTACTATAGAAAGCACGATGTCTAAATACGATTTCTTGTCACAAGTTAAAATACCATTCTTTATGAATGGATTATCACTTGCTTAATCCACCCTCTCCTCTCTTCTCACATTCGTCAACTTCCCCAAACGTGATGAAAAAACGGTTGCTCTTTAATTAGATTCGACCGTCGAAGGGTTTTGTGCTGAAATTGGCCAACTCTCTAAAGAATGGGACGCCAAAGCCTTTCCCACTTTGAAAATATGTCAATTCACAAGATTTTCCGTACAAGCAACTTCCTCTTCCTCTTCCCCCAACGTCCCTCCACGTATAAATCCCCTCAATCAGCGGTTGCTTCAAGACACACAAGCACAACCCTTCACAAAAACCCTAGCTAGCCAGCTTGTTATTTCACAAATTAATTAGCATTTTCCGAGAAAAATGGGCAACAAAAGCTCTTCAAAATCCAACACCGATTCTCAGGAAACAAACACCACCAAGAAGAGCGCATTCAACGGACTAGGAAACGTCATTAGGCTCCTTCCGACCGGGACCGTCTTCTTGTTCCAATTCCTCAACCCTGTCTTGACCAACAACGGCAAGTGCCACGCCGTGAACAAGTACCTTAGCGCCGGTCTAATCGGAGTTTGCGGCCTTTCGTGTAGTTTCGCTTGCTTCACCGATAGTTACAAGGGCAAGTTCGGGTTGACCTACTACGGGGTTGCCACGGCCAAGGGCCTCTGGCCAGGCTCGAGCTCCGTGGACCTGTCGCAGTATAAGCTTCGGTTCGGAGATTTCGTCCACGCTTTCATGTCGGTGATTATTTTTGCTGTCTTGGTGTTGTTGGACACGAACACCATGAGGTGCTTCTATCCGTCTTTCGAGCATACGGAGAATACTTTGATCAAGGTTTTGCCGACCGTGATCGGCGTGATCTCAGGCATCGTGTTCGCGTTGTTCCCGACCAAGCGCCACGGAATTGGGTATTCTTCAAGTGAGACTAAGACCACCTCAGAGACTAGTACTACCTCGGAGAGCAAAGCCTAGGGGGCTCGATGATAAACATAAGTACATATCCATGATCCAATGTAACCGCATGCATATTTCCAAATACTTGCATCTTCGACTTCTCATGTTAGACTCATGAGCTTGATTGTACGTACTTGTTGCCGTAGATCTTACATTTTATTGGTGATAAATGGTTTATCTGTATTGGAATCAACAAATTTGTCGATGTCTTTTTGCTAGTTTGTCATCATGAGTGGCATACTAATCGTATTCAACTTCTTTTAAATCAGTCTAATTTTATTTAAAAAATTCGGATTTTCTAAAGTTAGTTTTCTATTAAACTAAATAAAGTTACTCCTTAAGATCTCGACCCCCCAACGAGAAAATAGTGGACAGCTCTGAACGGGTCTACTTTTTTCCTTATATTTCTTCTTTTACTTTCTCTTTTTCCCTCATTTCTTTCATCCCATTTGCTCCTGGATGCATCTGATAACTGCGCATGACCTCAATCCGTCAATCGCCGTGCACGACGGAGTGCTTAGCTCGACCAACAACCACGATCACGCGTCCGCCTCCAGAAACTTCGCTCCCGTCTTCATAGGCCAGTCCTCGAGCACCCAACGCCTTTGTATCTCCCTCTGCGCCCCTCTCTGCACTTACGAGTCTTGAGTTGAGCTGGGCTCGCGATGCCAAATCCGACGTTGCCCACCCCTGGCAGGGTCTTGGGTGCCTGAGGTTGGGTGGCGACTGCATGGGGGTCCCGAACCCCGAACCCTCGGGGGGGGGTGGTTAGGTGGTGCGTGAGGTGGAGGGTGGACCTCAAGTCCGGCAGGTGAACAATGTATAAGTAGAAGACAGTGACATCTCTCTGAAATTCTCACGTAACCTTTCGACGGAGAAAATACTATTGCCGGTCGGTGACAAAAGTTTGTTCGTGTTTCCTTCTCTAAGGTATATTCTCGAGGGTTTCATACGTCATAATAATTTAATATGTAGGATGAAGGATATGCATTAATTTGCATTAGCCGGTCAATTGAGCCTTGCTTCCTAACGTTTCTCAGAAGCAATGGATCAAAGTCATATAGACAATGGAGTGCAGATCAAGCTGTGACTAATATTACTTTAATAAGACTTATGATAAGATGCATGATTGGTTTTAAATTGACAAATTTTAACTCCAAGTCGAAGGTCAAGGAAATGGATAATTTGCATTTACTTATCCCAAACAGTATAGTGTTAATTGACAAAATTAGCCTACGACTTTGTTAAACATGAATTGACATTTAAACTTTGTTAAACATGAATTGACATCTAATAACACATTTTTTTAGGAAAACTAATAATCTATGGGCTGTTACTTTCATATCTCGGTTAAATTTAAAAAAAATTCAAGTTTTATTCTTTCTTGCAGCTATTTTGAAGAGAACAGTTCACCTTTTTCCTCCAAAATGAAAAAAACAAAATTCATGATTTTAATTCATTTGGTCCTTCCTATCTTAAAACTATACAGGCTATAAAAAGATTAAAAAAAAAGAAAATGAAGGAAAAGATCAACACTAAACTTTTTATATTGTTTAATCATAAAGAAAAGGAAGGAAAAGATCAAGACAAAAGTTTGTTCGTGTTTTCTTCTTAGTCGTGAGTTCAAAAGGAAAGTTTATCTCTACGGTTTATTCTTGAGTGTTTGATCCGTCACAACATCCGTTAATTTATATTAGCCGGTCAATTTAACCTTGCTTCCTAACGTTTCTGGGCAGTAATGAATCAAACTCATGTAGACAATGGCAGATCAAGCTGTGACCGATATTCCTTTGGTAAGAATATGATAAGATGCGTGATTGGTTTTTAAGTTGAGAATTTTAATTCCAAGTCCAAGCTCAAGGATAATTTGCGTTTACTTATCCCAACGAAATAGTGTTGATAGACAAAATTAGCCTTCAAAATTTTTTTTTTGGGTAAGAAAAGGGACAAAACCCGGGTATTACATTAACGCTTGTCTAACGAAGCTTAAACCAGATTGATATCCTGTCAATAGAGGAAATAAACCTATTGGGGGCCTATCTAATGCCGGAGTGGCATTTACATCGTAGGACTAAATGATCCGGTTTGTTAACCAATTTGAACACAAATTTCCTTCCCTAAAAGTATGAAGAATTCTGACTTGTTGGAAGTACTTTAACAATTTTCGAATTCGAAAGATGAGGATGTCATGAAAACAGTGAGAGATTGTTGGTTTTTAAAGCAGTGTAATTGTTGCTTGCGAGTCCACCTCCACAATAATTTTGGGAATGCTAAGAGAGATTGCTAGTTTGAGGCCCAAAAGGATATCTCAAAGTTTAGCTTTTAATGAAGAGCACACTCCTACATATTGGGCAAACTGGCAAGCCTGCCTGACTCATTATGAAGAAGTCCACCTACTGAAGCTAGACTGGGTTGCCTTTAGAAGTCCCGTCGCTGTTGAGCTGAAACTTTATTAATCATGTCTTGATATTTAATAGGGCAAAAGCCACCAAAACTCCAAATTATGCCCACCGCACATTTACTCTGAACTTTTTTTCATAACATAAAAAATCTCAAACTTGTACTTGTTTGACATATTTATTCTCTGTCAAGGTTTCGTCAATGAATACTGTTAAAAATATGTCTATATGGATGCCAGAAAGCAAACAATGTTGACATGACGTTCACGTGGCTTAAGTGAAATAAAAACGACGTTGTTTTGGCTAAAAAATCATTTGACGGAACCTTGATGAGGATAAAGTATCGCATAGGTACAAGTTTGGGGTTTTTTTATGTCATAAGAAAAAAGTTTAAGGTAAATGTGTCACAGTGTCCATACTTTGGGGTTTTTAATGTTACAAAAAAAGTTTAGGGTATATGTGTCATAGTGGGTATAGTTTGAGGTTTTTTGTGGCTTTTTCCCCATTTATTAACACATTTCTTTTAGGAAAACTGATAATCTATGAGCCGTTACTTTCCTATCTCGGTTAAATTAAAAAATTTCTTGTTATTCTTTCTTGCATCTATTTTGAAGAGAATAGTTCACCTTTTCTACCAAAATGACAAAAACAAAATTCACGATTTTAATTCGTTTGTTGCTTCCAATCTTAAAACCATACAGACTAAAAAAAGAAACGAAAAGGAAGGAAATTATCAAGACTAAACTTTTTAAATTGTTCAATAAGAAAGAAAGTTATTTATATTGCTTGTGAACTATGTAATCAATTTTTTTTCAAAATATAAGTTTGAATGCGAAGAAACTATAACTAGCTAGATTTTGATTTCCATCAAAATAACTTAATACTTAGACAAAAGAACAGATGAACGATTCTTTAACAACTCGAATTTAAAACATTATAACTTCAACAAATTAATGAATTCAAGATCATAAAACGGAGAAATGGTTTTGAATTTGAACATAGTTTTATTTTAAATAAAGACATCTTTTTTTTTACTAATTCAAAAGCACACCGGAGATGAACCGAAGATAAGTTAACTAATTCCTTTTTGGAAACTTGTCTCAAATATGGTGGGAATGGGAACGGGAGAAATACTGATATCAATTTTATTGAGAGAGGGGTGATATTAATTTTGTGATTGAAAGTTAATTTGGTCATTTGATATAACAGTGTTTTGTTTTAGTAAAAAAGGTGTTGAAACAATGCCGCCCTATAAGAAATATAATATAGTTTTAGGATTTAATCTAGGCGGCGCTATTTCCATCCTTTAATGACTAAATCCACCCCATTTACACTAAAAAGACAAAACCTGTCTCAATCTTTCAATTGCAGTTTAAAGTGATGGTCACACTCCTTTTTTATTTTTTTTTCTGCTTAGGGTAGTTACCATAATTAAGCATATTACATGTTCTGTTTTTTAGCATATTAAAGACAAGTGCATTCTCAGATATTCCTTTAACGTTTTATATGCTCCATGTACAATTATCTCGCTAATAATAAGGAAAAAAGACATTATTTGATATTGTATAAAACTGAAAAGTCTCTTCTTCATCATTGATCATATAACAATTTATCTATTTTTCGTCACTCTTATCTCAAAAGCTCACTTTCTTGGTGAACTTTTATTAATTTCATTAGTCCAAAATATATATATCAAGTCTCTTTATTTACTATATCAAGGAGTTTATCTTTTTTCCTTACTATAATGACAAGATACTTTTATACAGAGCATTTAAGACAATAGAGGAATATCTAGGAATACACTAAAAATATAATGCACAATGAGGTATGTTGATATTTTTTAGTAAACAGTTCATAGATGATATTAATTTCTGTCAATCCAAAAAATGATAATTCATCGGCATTTTCAATTTTTTTTAATTTATGCAATGTTTTAATTAAAAATAAATTTCATCTACTTAACAATTTATCCATAAATTTGATCAAAAACGTAAAAAAAAAAGTAGATTTCTTGGAAATTTCTCTTATCGACAAAAATAATTTTTTATGGAAGTAATATTTGACAATAAAAAAAATAGTGCCTTTAATATACATGGAAAATCTACAATAAATAAAAACAAAACATATGAAATTATTTAATTATATCCTACACAGATATAGAAAAACTAAAAAAAAAGGAAAAGTAAATAAATTTGGGACCACCAATTTAAATTGCAATTAAATGATAGAGGGCAATTTTGTCTTTTGGTGGATTTAGTAATGTAGGGGGTGGATATTGGCGCCGTCCTTTAATCTAGGAAAACTTTTTGGGGGCCAAAAAGCAAGTGGGCCTAAGCCCAAGAAAGACCAGCATAGCTTAGCATGTGGGTCTGAGCCTCAATTTCTAAGATTTATTTATGGCAACGTTTGGTTCACAGGAATAGCTATTCTATTCCTAACCTATTCCTGATGAAACACTCAGTTTCTATGTTTGGTTCAACAAAATGGATTAGGGAAAAACGTTTCTATGCGAATCTGTACATGAACTCTTTCACATTGATTTCCTAGTGTTCTCAAAGTCGCATTTGGAATAAAATCGAAGTCACATCTTCCCGGTTGTCCAAATTTTGGATTGAAGCTTACTTGGCTGATTGGATTTAATTAATTGAATCATTTTTCTACTGTTTTTTTTTTGCTTATGACTAGAGAGTGTGTCCTGAGCTTATTGTAAACACATGTTCATGCCACAAATGGTTTTGAACCCATAAACCCATCAGAAATTTGTCCAAAGCTTCCCAAATTTAGTCCATTTCTTCAATCCGATAAAAATTGTCAGGGGTCAACAAATTTCGTCTGTTAACCTTGAGGGATATTGAGTTGATCAAGAGTGTGTTTGTTTCACGGAATACTTACGATTTGAAAAATATTTTCCGAAAAATGATTAGTTACATCGTTTAAAAAAATTAGTCAACGGAAAATGTTTTCATTATTAACAATATTTTATGCCTAACTATTTTTGTGGGTGATAAAAATATTTTACATTCATTCATTTTTGTAAGCGATCTAAGCGATTATTTTTCGGAAAATGTTGTGTAAATCTTGAGTGTTTGGGTGAAACAAAATGCACCCTAAGATTCAATATCAAGACGCATCTTAAGTTGCTCGATCGGTGATCATAAGTACAATGAATTCATTTTCCTCGGAACCACCTTAAGAGCTTTCTCTATCTCTATATAGTTATCCAGTACTAATGAAGGGGGGGCCATCGGGACACTTAACCGGGTACTTTGAGTAGTTAGAACACTTCAGACCCTCATAATAAGGGACATATAACTCTTCCTCCAACATGAAGGAGAGACCATAGAGCATAAGAAAAAAAAAACAAAAATACAAATCACCCTATAATTAGGCTTTGACTTGCCATACGCTTCTACAATTACAAGGGCATCTCACCTTCAAAGCCTTCTTCTGTTGTCTGAGAGGGTCTTTCCTAGACTTACAACCTGCTTTAACTACGTCAACCTTGACTATGTGGTGGTCTGAAGTGCCCTTAGATGAGATCACTGAGTATGAATTGGGCACAAACTTGAACGGTGCCTCTGGAGATGCCCAGATGTAGTCCACACGCGTGCCATACTTGCACGTGCCCTGCACATCTGCAAGAGCCAAAAGAAGAAATTAGACTCATTGGAGTGTTCTTTTTCTTTTTATGGGGACATGTGAGCTAGGACAAGGAACACATACTTTGGCCTTTTGCAATAATGACCACAGGCTCACAATCCCCGGCAGAGTTCTTTGCATCAGTGTAATCTTTCCCCTTCAAGAACTTGGTTACTTCAACCTTTGGTGTGGGCTTCCCTATGTCCTCGTAATACTACAAAAAAAAGTAACAAAAAGTTTCAAAAGTACAAAAAAAAAAAGAAAAAAAGAAATAGTAACTTTTTTGATCATGGGTTTTTCCAGAAAAAAAATTAAGTTTCTTTTTCTTGAATTACCTTGACAATGTCCATCCATCTAGAAATGGAGTAATCTGACTCATCCAGTGAGTTGAGGCCACCTGCAAGGATGTGAGGAGGGTCATGTGATTGAACAATTGCCCTAATTTGCCTCATCCTCCAGAACTCATCCAGGTGGTCCAGCTGTGTGCAGTTGAAGCTGAGCTCTCCTGCCCATGGCACATCTATGGTGGCCTTCAACACATTCCTGGTCATCACCCACAACCCCAATCATTTCCAGTGACATTGTGCTCATGTTGATTAGTGTTGGGAATTTAGGATTAGCTCACCTCGATAGGACGGTGATTTTAAAGTAATTAGAAAGACGACATGACTTTACTGAAACAGACATGGTTAAAACCACCGAATTTGGACTCCAGACTCGGCATGACATAAGCATTTGATTACCTTCCCTTTTACTCTTTCTAAATTCTCGACAAAATTGTTTTGTTGAAAGGCACCAACTGGGGGGTCACAAAGGGAGTGCAGTAAAATCGAAATGAAGTTTCACTTTCATCCCTGAGATGTGGCTACTGTTTAAGCTTCTAATCATGCTAAAAACAGAACACAATACCCTATTAAGATGTTAATGTAGTAGCCAAAAATACACTCGCTGATATAACGAATGACTGACTTGATTTTCCAGATAAGATAGCTGCTAATTGACCCCCGAAGCACTCAGTTAAAAATGCCTACACGACAAGCATTGCAGAGCACTAGACTATGCTTTTTCTTGACCAATGCAATGATTTCAGGGAGGATATTAGTGAGATGACTGAACAAGCACCTGAAATCGTCGTCATCGGCAATCTTCTGAACCCGCCACCGCTTGATCGGCCACCTTGACAGGACTGCATTACCGTACTCGGGAGCCCAGCTCTCGGCAAACACGTAGTCCATCCCTAGAGCACTCGCCAGGTCAGAAAGCGGCCTCATTCCCTTCTCTTCCTGAGCCTTCACATCTTGCAATGCCAAAATGTCAGCATTCACCTCCTTGAGAACTTCCAATATGCTCTTGCCACTCCTCAGATTCTCTTCCTGATCGCTCCTGGAATTCCCCAGGCCCAAGCTGTAAGGGAAACATATCGGTGATCTTACTGGGACTTTGCTTCGAGTGTTCGTGCTGTTGGTGATCATAATCGGCGAGCTATTGGCTTCATTCAAGAAGCCAAGCAGCTTGCTATTGGCTATGGAGATCTCGTTCTCGGGCAGATTTATTGAGACCTTTAGGTTCGACCTGGCAGGCCTACCGTTCACCGATGGGTGCAGAGGAGATTGCTTCAATATGCTCCTCGGCTGAGAATTAAGTCCTCCTGGCTTCTTCTGATTATTACCGAACACAAAGTAATCTTCCTCCTCTTCTTCTTGATCGAACACGGAGGATCCATCGCGATTTGGGACGGCGGGCGCGAGAGAGAACATCGCCACGTTGAATGTTGCGACTCGGATCGGCCTCTCTGGGAAAGAGAAACTGAATTGGCCGTTGTTCGAACTGTTCTTGGCGCCTAGCAATTCACCGGAACGGACTCTCAAGCCAAACCTTCTCAATCTCTTGACAACGATCTTTAGCCGCGGCCGCTTCCTACTCAGCTGCCGTATTCTCGAGCAGAGAAGCCGGATTTTTCGTCGTAGCACACTCAGTATGTGAGCTGAATGGTCACTGCACAATTCTTCATGGGCCATGTATCAAAGTGTCAAAAGAAAAAAAGATGCTTTTAGCTCTTCATGGGCACCTTTCTTCACAAGATTAGAGCAAGTAAAAATCTTTGTTTGTGGCAAGATTGAGGGTCATGAGAAAGATGATAAATAAGAGAGTTAGTTGGAAACAGATGAGGTCATTGGATAAAGGTTGAAAAATGTTGTTTTATGAACAACAATGTTGAGAGAGAGAGAGAGAGAGAGAGAGAGAGAGAGAGAGAGAGAAAACAAACACCAACTGCTCCAAAGACAATGGTGGAGGGTTGAGTTTGACTATAAGCGCAAAAACTGTTGAGCTCCTTTTCCAAAGTACCAACTCCTACCAATCATATGTCAATTGTTGGCCTAAAAAATAATAAATTTACATAATTAAGGATGAAAATTAGAAAATAGGGTCATAACTAAACTTAGAATTGGAATGATCTTTGAAACCCTCCTCAAAAGTTATACAGTTGGGAAATCAGTTTTCATGGTTAGAGATCTTCAAGAACTCAAAAGAATTATATGATGACTTGGGCGAATGTATTAGCAAATAAGAGTAGGTTTGTCCCTCAGTTTATGATCCTTCTAACGAAAACACAACTTATGAGGAAATAACAAGTAAATGAATACATAAATAACAGAAAGGTCGAGCCAACAATGATTAAGGTCCAGGAAAGGTCCGGGAAAGGTTGACTTATGTGTAGGATTGCTTGTCTTGGACGGTGATGTGTGGTGTGTTAAGCAGTCATGTCATCTTTTAGGGATCTTTTATTGGTATTGAATGCGTAGGTTGAACCCAAATTAAGTCGCCAAAATGTGAAGAAAGCATGCGACTGTGTGGCCATAAGTTGACTTTAGCGTCCTTCGGAAAATATTTAAGAAACAAAAGCTAGTTATGTTTGTTGATCTATAGTGATGGCAAAATGTCGTGGTTATCTGCCGGAGTGCTCAGATGTTCCAAAAGTAGGACCGACAACTTGTGTTGATGTTGATTCTATCTATTCGTAACTATGGCCTAGAATATCCCGAGTGATATCACAAAGAGTTAAATTATGGCCATCACTCAAGGAGACCTTTGATTTCTGAAATATAAGCTAATTAGAGTCATTTACATATATATTACAATGCTTTTGGAAGGAATACTCTAGCAGGCAAGCGATTTATGTTTTATGTGGCTTTGTCTGCATATTTAATTTCACGAATGTGTATCAATTTATCCATGAGTTGATAGATATATTTGAATATACATATTGAGATATATAACCACTCGGTCCGTTCAATGTGAACTAAGTCTCTAAAAGCAATACTATGAGTAACTATACAATGTTTGGCCTCTCTTATTGATGCGGGACTATGAATTGTTACAAATTCCCTCCACTTTTAAAGAATTGATGTCCTCGTTAGTGTTGGCTTGTATCGTTATACTGCCTATATTTTATGTGTGGTCCGGTCCAGTCCATTCCTACTCCTTTTGTCATCTTATAAGTCTACAAAGAGCCATACATTATCTGAGCACTCTTGGCAGTTCACACCCTCATTGGATTGGGTATGGCTTGTATTGTGATACTCAATGTAGCAATTAGGTCTGTTCCATGAGGTTCGAGTGTTGAAAAAGAGTATCTTGAGCAACCACAAAATATATATTTAAGGAATTCGGTGTACTTATGAATCACTCAAGAGTCTCTCTTCCATTGAAAGCGAGTTATCTTTCTTCGGATGTCTTCTTGGATCCAATATTGGATTCTCAAGAAGCCAACTATTTGAAAAAATAACTCCATACCATGCCTTACTTCCTTAAAAAAGAAATCGTCAGTGATGTACGCAGAGGATGGCAGAATCAGTTAAGGAACGTCGACCCACGACCAAAAACAATAAATTCTTGGAGAATATAGAAACCCCACAAAGTACAACCCTCCTCATTGTACATTAACTTCTATCACATATTACTCATGTAATTGTTTAGAAGAATGTCAAGCTGCCATTGTCGTTCTAAACTTGTGTATAGATGACTTTGCCTTTTAAGCATTTAGTTAGGTTTGGTGCAATTATAAAAACGGTTTACTTATGAATCACTCAAGAATCTCTCTTCCATTGAAAGCGAGTTATCTTTCTTCATGTGTCTCCTTGGATCCAATAATGGATTATGAAAGAGCCAACTTTTTGAAGCAATAACTCCACACCGTGTCATACTTCTATAAAAAAAAGAAATGGTCAGTGACGTATACAGAGAATAGCAGACGTAGTTAAGGAACGTCGACCCACGACCAAAAACCATAAATTTTTCGGGTACTCGCATCAGATTGAGACAGGGGACTTCGATTGTTTTGCAAACCTAAAGAGTATGTAGATCCCCACAAAGTACAACCCTCTTCATTGTACATTAATTTCTATCACATATTTATCATGTAATTGTTTAGAAGAATGTTAAGCCACCATTTTCGTTCTAAACTTGTGCATCGATCACTTTGGCTTTTAAAGTATTCGGTTAGGTTCGGTGCCCTTATGAAAACGGACTCTCATAGGTTTCTCTCGCTCTCATGATAAGCTTGGGAAAACCGTGCCCTGCGCCGATGCAGACTATTGCTTTCACGTCTTGATTGAGTTGCGATGCACAGAAGACTTCCAACTCAACATGGAAGTGATTTTTTAATGTTTGTCATAGCAAAATCATGAAACGCGCATTTTAGAAAAACTCTCTAAGTACAAACTCAAATATTGGGTTCAGATGCTGGAGTCCTGGGTTCGGCGTCAAAGAAACCTGGGCCCATACTCGAGGAACCTGAGCCCAGTTGTTGGGGATTGGGGCATGGCTACCAGGGTCTTGCACTTGAGTGTTGGTGATGGGGACCGGGCTCGGGTGAGGAATCTGAGCCTTGGTTCGGTAGTTGGGGTCTCGAACCCCGTCGTCGGGGACCGGCCATGGGCGACGGGTCTCGGGCCAGCGTGCCCAAGACTTGGGCACGGGCACTAGGGTCCCGGATGTGGAAGCCGGGTATCGAAGCCCGGCCTACCTCTCCACCGGCGTAGATAGAGTTGGTGTTTTGATGAAGTCCACAGTTATGGCAGAGTTTGAATGCGGCTTGAACTTGGATGAAGTCTGTGATGGTTGAGACCATGAGGAACTAAGGGAGAGTAGCGGTGATTAGGTTCTATTGAAGTGATTGTGACTTGGTTCAAAGGGCAAAGGCAATTGTGACTTGGTTCAAAGGTCAAGTCAAGGTCAAGGTTGTAAGAATGTATTTGAAGTTGAAGCCCGTGAACGCTGGTGTAATTATCGTCTGAAAAGAAAAGAAACTAATCTCCATTAGACGATAAGTGCACCTCCTATTTGACGTACAATAATGGTAGTTCCATACCTTCTTCTTTAGAAGCATACACCGTTTTCGATTCCGCAAAAATTGCTTACAATCTTCAGCTTCTTCAGGATGAACAGGAAGATTATTAGAAGTCAAGGTTAGAAATGTGATTATTCCTCTAACATGGGCACCGCCTGAACAGTCTACTGCAAATCTCTCATGGGCAGATTGATTTTAGGATCACTACAAGATCAATGGCCCACATACCGTCGACTCAAGAATGCCTCCCCTCAATTCAGCGCTCTCATATTTTTGCCAACTTTTTCAAAATAAATTTTGTTTTACGTACTTACGAACTCAAGGGTGTTAGTTCTTGATACAACACCAGCGTTACAAGTTCAAACATATTAACCTTTTTTATTGTTAAAAGAAATTTACATCAAAACATTTTGATAGCAAGAACAGATGAAATAAATAATAAAGAGATGCCAATAATAGAAATAGAAATGATGAGGATATTAGAAGAAACACACATATGTGTACATAGATAATATTTAAAAGATAACTAAGCTCATTTTTATTTCATCTTAACATCATTCTCTCTCATTCATTCACATAAGAGGTTTCCTCCCTTGTTGTGTAGGAGGATTCCATGGATAACAAACATCATACTCTCCGGTTGTTTCATTAAACCTACAAGGACCAGTGGGCCAAATCTTCCAAGCACACACACCACAATGATCTTCGTCCCTCGTTTGCACGTATATATCAAACTTCTGAAAATGATTCGGCCACGCAAAGTTGCAAAAGAACAATGTCCTCCCATACCAATAGGGATAGAATGAGAATTACCAGCTGCTCGTTATATAATGGATCCCGAGATCATCATCTTTGGATTTGCAATAAATTGATGGAGTAGTTCCAGCCGGCAAATTGTTATAGATCACAACATGTGTCTTGCCCCAAACATCTCCCACACAACCAGTTAGCAATAAAGAACAAATGAATATGAGCTTAGCTGATGAATTGACCATATTTGGGATATCTATGCTCCAATTTTAACATCATTCAACTATTTAAGGATGAAGAAGGGAGGATATCGGATGTGGCCTACTTGCCATAACCCTATTATCCTTAATTTCATATAAACATCTCTTATTACCAAGTTTAATGTGGACAACTTGCCCTAACCATATCATCTTTAATTAGTGTTCCTTTTTACTCTAGGATAAGAATTGCCATATTACCTTTCATATTTTTCCTTTTTTGCATTTGTATAAGAATTGCCATATAAACATCTCTTATTACCAAGTTTAATATCTTTTGTATAGATTAATTATGATAGTTCCGAATATCTCTTCTATGCAAAATCTTTTGCAACTATAGAATCCAACTACCATTTGGGTAGATACCATAAAAAGGGAAAGCGAAGTGTAGACAGATCAACCCTTTAGAATGTTTTGTTTCCTCTTAGTCACAAGCTAAATAAGACCAGTGTATACAAGGCAATTTTCCAGTTACTTTTGGTTTTAGATTAATCAGTCAACTAGCCAGTAAGAGATGTTTCCCGTAAAAGGACATCATACTCACTAGATTGTCATTATTCCATGCTTCTTTATACCCCATGCCTACGTTGTTATTAATATCTTTTAATTCTCTGACTCACAATGGCTCGTTTTGATTCAAGATTTAAATTATACGTATCTATCAGGAGAATATATAAAACATTGTGGGTATAGTTGTTCTGTTTCGTCTTTAATTTTCTGTACTATATTTACCGGTTTTGTGGGTGCGGCTGAAATATTGTGGCCGGTTGTCGCTGAGGTTATTTTGATATAAGTTGGTTGAGTTTTGGGGAAGATATTGATCCTGTACTGATTTAAGTTCTTAGTGAATTGTTGTTGTTTTTCTCCAACAAAGTGG